CTCCTCTTTCCAAAAGAACTCCCCAGCCTCGACTACCTCCTCGAGGGCTTCTGGCGTGAGCACGGCGACCCCCGCTCCGCCGACTACCCCTTCATGTCTTCGGTCAGAGTTCCTGGAACAGTGCTCACCGCCTACCTCCTCTTTGTGCTGTGGATTGGGCCGTGGTGGATGGCCCGGCGGGAGCGTGCCTTCAGTCTGAAACCGCTCCTCCTCGTCTACAACCTGGCGCTGGCCGCCTACAATGGCTACGTCTTCGCCCGCCTCCTCCTCAACCCGGGCCACCTGGTGGAGCGGGTGCTGGACACGCGGTACCCGCCGGTGGAGGACCGCAGCGAGTGGACGCTGGCCGTCATCGACGATATTTACATCTACACGCTTTCCAAGTACGTCGACCTGCTGGACACGGTGTTCTTCGTGCTGCGGAAGAAGCAGAGTCAGGTGACGGCCCTGCACCTCTACCACCACTTCATGGTGGCCGCCAACGGCTGGGTCATCTTCCGCCTCTGCGCCCTCTGCAACGTCTGCTCGCTCTTTGTGCTGCTCAATTCGGGCATCCATCTGCTGATGTACAGGTAAGATCGGTGGTCACTTTCGGAAATGTTTTCGAAGTTTTGCTGAAGAGGCCTTCTGATGATAATACCTTCTTCTTCTTCTGCTGCAGCTATTACGCCCTCTCTGCGCTGGGCCCCGCCGTCCGCCCCTACCTCTGGTGGAAGCGGTACATCACCCAGGCGCAGATCGGCCAGTTCGTCCTCCTCTTCATCCACTCCGTCTACTTCACGACGACGCAGGTCGGCTACTCGCCCTACTACACCTACCACTACATTGCCACGACGGTCATCTACTGCATCCTCTTCGGTCGCTTCTACCTGAAGGCTTATCGGCAGCAGCAGCAGCAACAGGTGAAGAAGGCGGTGGTGGTGCTTGATAAGAAGGAGAATTAAATAAAGTGAGGTGTGATCTCGAGCCTGTTGTTTGCCAACAATAACAACTTCTTGATGGTGATTGAAGTAGAGGAAAGATGTTTTCAGTTTTCCTGTGTTCTTTTTTCTCCTTTTGAAGAGTTTTCACTTTTTTCCCTTTGTGTTCTGTACTTCTTTGTGATGCTGAATCGCCGGACTTTGTTTTGCTTTTTTAGAGCTTGGAAATTAGAGAGAGAAACCAGTTTAGTTTGGAGCAGTTGAGTTGAGAGAGCTTCTCGAAACATACTTGCCGAATATGAAAACTACTTCGTAGCCTTTTCGAAAAATGTACTGCAGCTGAAAATAAACACACACCTGAGCAAATTGAGCTGCTGCTGCTGCTGCTGCCGGGGAAAGGAAGTTTGGAGTGGTTGAAACGGTTGAGGCTCTTGTTGAGGCTAAAAATAGAGCGCTCGAGAGCGCGAGCGGTAATTGTCCGCGCGGTGAGTAAGTGAGTGAGTGAGTGTGTTTATTTTGTTTCTGTCAAACTAACTCTGTGTGTGTGTCCGAGGCTCAAGAAGTGGTGGACTAGATTTAGGTGATGGTGGTGGTTTACGTATACAGGTGGTAAGTCTTCTTTTTTACAGCCGTTGTTTACTTATCAGCAGCAGCAGCAGTTGAGTCCTCCTTCTTCGGCTGAAAGCGCTCCCCATCGGCGGCCAGGTCAGCCAGACGGACCCGCCGCGACTCGAGGCCATTTCCCACCAGAATGGCCACCTCCTTCTGAGGATCCAGGCCCTGGCCCTGGCTGCTGCTGGTCAGTCCCAGCGGGCTAATTTGGTCGCAGGGCAGGCGGAGGTCGTGCTCGAAGCGAGCGACCAGTATTGAAAGGCTCGTCGGCGTGGGAATGCCAAAGTACGGCTCGAGGGCGATCGAGGTGACCGGGGCGGTGGCGAGCGAGTAGGCCGGCGAGGGCAAACTGAAAGAGGAGAAGGAGGAGGAAGAGGATGTAGGGGGCGATTCCTCGCGGCGATGGCAGCGGTACTTGATGAAGTATTTGTGACTGGTACTGTCATCATCATCTTTTAGAACCGACGTCTCAAGAGCCGGACAGTGCGGCAGGTAGACGGCGTTGAAGCTGAAGAGCAGTCCCGGGCAGCGGTACTCGAGGTTGCCGGCGGCGGGTGATGATGATGATGAGTTCGAAGTTGAATTTGAGTTTGAAGGAGGAGATGAGGCACTCTCCTCGAAGAGGTGCGCGAAGAAGGTGTCCTCGGTGCGCAACAGCTCGACACTGCGGTCGAGGTAGGCGCCGGTGTAGAGGGAGCTTGAGTGATCTGAAAGAGGATACAAGAAGGGTGTCAATGTTACATGTTTAGATAAGGTGGCGAACTTTTGCTTACAGTTATGTTCTTCCTCTCCTTCTTTTTCTACTTCGGTTTCTCTCAGTTGATCTTCCTCTTTCCTCCTCTTTTTCATCACTTGAGGACAGTCTGCTGTGGTACAGAAGCCTTCTTCATCTTTTTCGGCAGCGGCTGCTGCTGTTGAACTTTAAAGGTGAAAACAGTGTGTAAAAGAGCGGTTTACCAAAACGGGAGCAGAGCTAACAGTTAACTACTTACTATGCGCAAAGATGGAGAGCGAGAAACAGCAACAAAAGTCCAAATCTGGTCAGCAACATCTTTTCGAAATGTCTCTATGTTGGCCACCTCCGTGGTCGTCGTCGTCGTTCACACTTTGACGTGGAAGAGCTGAAACACTTTGGCAAACGAAGACAAAGACGTAGAAGGGCAAACAACACAGACAGACATTGTCTGTCAAAAAGCTATACTTGGTAATTAGCAGTAGTGGATCTCTCGTCTCGTCAAGAGCCATAAGTCAAGTAAAGTAGTGTGAAGTAATGTGATCTTATTTTCCGATAAAGTAGAATGATCCCCCTCTTCTCCACAGGCATTTACGGTTTGCATGCTCGGTGCAATCTAAAATGAGTAAAGAAAAAAGAAAGAGATTTAGATTGAAAGAAAAAGCAAAGCAACGAGTGGCAATCGCTGCTGCTGCTGCTCTATCAAACCAGTTTTGCCGCCGCCGACGATCAGCAGACGACCATCAGCTGCTGCTGTTGCTGTGATAGTCACCAATTCAAACTGCTGCGCGCCTTTTTTCTTTGGACAAAAAATGCGGTGCGTTTCGAAAATCTGGTGCAAAAAAATTTCGAAGTCTTTCCAACAAAGAATGCCAAAAAGAATAAGAAAAGAAGCAGAAAATCTTTCCAAAATCAGTTCAAAGAGTACGTGTGCGCGTGCCTGCCTGCTTTCTTGCCCACCTTATTCTTCTTCTCCTTAGCCTTGACTGTTGAGTTGCGGCGGCGGCGGCGGCGCGCGTGTTTTCACTCTCGCTCTCGCTCTCTCTCTCCGTGTTGTCAGGCAATAAAAGCGACCGGCGCGACCGTTGGACAGCCTGCTTCACTTTGCCAGTGCATTTTGCTTGTGATTTGCCGTTTGCTTCTCACTTTCTCGCGCTCTCATTCTCGCCTGTTGCTCGTCAGCTTACGACTCACTCACTCACTCACTCCGATCATCACCGTCACTTGTTGGACCTTTCAGCTTTGTTTGGACTATCCAAATCCTACCACCCACCCACCCATCAACAACTTTCCCACAAGATGCGTGAGTGTCTCTCGATTCACGTCGGCCAGGCCGGCGTCCAGATCGGCAACGCCTGCTGGGAGCTGTACTGCCTGGAGCACGGCATCTCCCCAGAGTAAGTCTTCTCTCTAGAAGAAGTCTTCCACTTTCTAATTTCCTTCTTTTCTCCCACCTCTTCAGCGGCAACATGGCCGAGCAGGAGAAGACCGTCGACTCGTGCAGTACCTTCTTCAATGAGGTGGGCAACGGCCACCACGTCCCTCGCGCCGTCTTCGTCGACCTGGAGCCGACGGTGGTGGACCAGGTGCGCCTCGGCCCCTACGGGAAGCTCTTCCACCCGGAGCAGCTGATCACCGGGAAGGAGGACGCGGCGAACAACTACGCCCGCGGCCACTACACCATCGGCAAGGAGATCGTCGACACGGTGCTGGGTAAGCCTTCGACGGTTTCTAAAATCGGGCTGTATTCCTCATTTCGAACCCGTTTTNAGTTTCTAAAATCGATTTCTGTTCATCATTTCAAACCCTTCATCAACTTTTCGCCACACCTAGATCGCATCCGCCGCCTCGCCGACCAGTGCTCCGGCCTGCAGGGCTTCCTAATCTTTCACTCCTTCGGCGGCGGCACCGGCAGCGGCTTCACCAGCCTCCTCATGGAGCGCCTCTCCGTGGACTACGGCAAGAAGAGCAAGCTGGAGTTTGCCATCTACCCCGCTCCCCAGGTGTCCACCGCCGTCGTCGAGCCCTACAACAGCGTCCTCACCACCCACAACACACTGGAGCACTCCGACTGCAGCTTCATGGTGGACAATGAGGCGATC